TTACATGGTCGTCGTCATATAGGCTGGAGCTGCGACAGGGTAGCTCTGCTCAAACGTGAGAGCTAGGGGCACCTACGTTTGAAGAGGCTAGGGACTCGTGGCAAGCTCTTGAAGAGCCTCGTCAATTTGTTGTGGCGATGGGCCCCGGGCTGTTGCCCGAGCTGATCTATCATGCTACACGGTTCATAATCATTCCCCGCTACTGCCTGTCGCTCCCGAGTGGCCCGGATGATCTTCGAAGGAGTTTCTGTCTGTGTTCAGGTCCGAATCTTGAGTGGTTGAGCAATCAGCCAGCCAAATCTATTTTGTCTCCTTTTGTCCCGAGCCCACTCTCCGACGAGAAAGCTGCCATGACATGTACCGAGACCGAGTCCCCGATAAAGGAAAAAAAAAACCCCATTGTTTAGCGTTGTATTATTCACGGAGACAAGAAAGGGCGGAGGCGGTCAGGTAGAAAGGGGTTGCGCGGATGCGAATTGCCTGTTGCGCATGGGAGCGTAACATTCAGGTGTGACATGAGTGTTGTAAGCAGACAAAGGCTCACCTTTACCCACCACCTCCGAGGGAAGAGCTAGAGGTATCTACTAGTGAAACATCGGCTGAGCTTTGAAGGGATCCGTTGATGTATCTTGGCCTATAACTAACAATAGGAAGGACATATACGATTATGTCGTGTACTTGTCACTCACATGCTATTGCAGAGATAGTCAGGCTACCTCACCAAACTTTGCCCACTTGTCTGGGCTTAATTATTTTGCATAGTTGACAGAGGAGAAGAGCGGAAGAGGAAGAAGAAGAAGAAAAAATGAGGCTATGAGAGGGCCGCCTTGGTTGAAGTCCTGTTCGCCCTGCTTCACTTCTTCTGCCCAGGGTTGGCTGACCTATCGCCACGGGAAAACCACAATTTTTGGACATGCTCATTTTCTGGTGACCTTCAGTTCGTCGAGCCCCCTTGTGAAAAGAATGTAATTGGTGTGCGGCGTGTTTGCCGGTCCTGGTCAACAGCCACCCGCCCTCATAGGAGTCGCGGCGTGGGGAACCGGCATGACGTGTGCTCGTCGTTTCCCTCGGGTGCCGTCCGTTCCCACAAACACGGAGTAGCTTTGTCAGTCGCTCTGCTGTATCCCCCTCCGCCCCCTTTTCCCCGTGCGGACGTGGCAGCGGCACTCTTATTAGGTTAATGGTATTAGGGCATGCTGAGTCGACTGGCAAGCGTCAAATTGATTGATCTTTGGGCATTGATTGGGAGCCATGCACCGCACTACAGACTGGTTCACCGGCGGACGACCTTCGCCTCAGATTATGAAAAGTCAGGATTTGCCCATCGTCGACGAACTGGATGCCTTGTTGTCTCCGTAAGTGTCAATGGAAATGGGCCATCGACATTCGGCGAGCGACGGAGCTAGACGGCACCCATCAATCGCACCCGGCAACCCGGTCTCAACTGACCGCAGCACCTCGCCAGGGCTGTCAGCGCGCTCTGGAGGAGCACAAGGATCTCGAACGCCGCCTCGGCCGCTCGACTTGATACCACCGGGAGTAACCGGATGATTCCAATTCGACTCTCTCTCTCTCTCTCCGACCTTCTTGTACGGAGATGTCTCAGAGCAGCATATGCACGCATTTCTGCATACATAGATTTTGCATAGATTAACTCACCAATCCAGGGCAAGCTGTCTCGAGATTCGAATCAGGAAAGCAAAACTCGCTCCTCAGCTTCTCTAGGCGGCAGCGCTCCCCGATCACACCACAGACCACCCCGTGACTGTTTAGCCCACGACTTGAGAAGTAGAGTCACCGCCGGCGTGCATACAAGGCATTGACGCAACTGCAGGGATCTTGCCGTGGGATGGCACAGAGTGGTGGGAAGACGACGCCTCATTTTTCTTTTGTTTCCCTCCCATATCTCTGCTTGGCGAAACAGTCCCGTTTGAGGTACCATGAGACTTTGCCGTCCCAAAGAAGGAGGGCAACTGACTAATAATGGAAGAATGAAGGCTCCAAGTGCTTATCAATTACGGAGGCGTAGGTTTTCAGCTATTCAAGGGGGAGGGAGGTAGGCTTTTTTTTTTTTTTTCCCTGATTAATGGTTGCCCACCCAAGAGAGAACCCCCGCTGCGGCATTCATCCTTTTGGAGGCGGATTCTTCGAGCCCACCTACCAAGGTCTGAGGGAACGAGAGAGAGTTCGGTAGAGATAGGTTCGTTGGCTTCCACAGGTCCTAGGGAACGTCGGTCCTGGTTGTGGGCGCAGGTACACTTCTCGACGAACCGTCTTGTCCCATTCATGGGGGACATGGGAAGGACGGGCATCCAAGTATCTTACTATCGAGGCGCTCTTTTTTTTTCTTTTTCTTTTTAAACAACTTATCCCGCTCGTAGCCTAATTTTAATTTCCTTGATCTCTTCCGCGGGGAGAAGAAAAGGAGAGGGAGACGGGTGGACAGAGACCGGGGAATCAGAACCTCGAACCGCGTATCATGACGAGTATCGTTGAAGGACCTGATGGTGTCTGCTTTCAGAGCACCCCCTTCGGCCAACGCAAAGCTATCATTTGCAAAGCTGCCGGTGAGTTGGTCGGAGGATTGTGCAAGGATAGAGCAAGCTGCAGTGCGACATCATACAGGTGCGATCGGAAACACAGATCGTCGGCGCCGGAGTGTGCTGTGTGCTGGGCTCTGTGGCCGTGGAAATTGAGGGCAGGAGCGGTAGAAGCGTCCTGGTCTCCCCTCGTCTTCCTGAGAACGAGAAAATGGCTCGACTCAAGTGCTGTCAGGGAGAACTGCGCGGGGCCACTTCACTCTCTACGAAGCAGCGTATCGTGACACACAAAACTTGAGTGCCACATGATGGTGCATCAAGGATACCGGCAAGGACACCTGGCGAGCGAAGAAGGAGCGACGAGGCAAAAAGGAAGGGAGCAGGAGACGACGTCAAGCCCCATGCACTCCATCTCACCCTGCCGCAAGACCCTTTCCACGTTCAAATCCCTACGAAGTTTATCCGCAGTATTCCGTGCCATGCCGAGCTCCGCCATTCTTGGATCTCTACACCAAGGGAGCTTGAGCTCACTGGATATTCTATCTAAGGAGCCCAAAATTGAATGAGCGGCATTATCTGGGCGGTATGAACATGATGCCCGGTGTCTTTGTCTGGGCCGCCATTAACGCCAGTCGTCGCAGCGGCCACGTCCATAATGACTGAGCACACCGCCATTTCGGGGCCGGCTTCCAGCCACATCAATTCCTTTTTTTTTTTTTCTTTCGTTTCCCAGAGATTGCAGCAGCACTTGAGCGTTTCCCCGCCTGCGCCTCGCCTGAAGCGTCGCCCAGAGCGCATGCTGGAGGAATTTTGGGCCTCTGTACAGGGCATGAATAAGCCTGGCTCACAGTGGGTCGGTGTATGCGTGCGGGCTTTCTCGGGGGCCTAAGCCCCTAGTTAGCTCCGAAAGCAGTACCACGTTAGTACTGAGTCCGCTCAATGGTTCGTTCCCACGACAGACGACACATAGGCACTTGAAGCAGAAAAGTCAAAGGGCGGGGCCAGCCTGCGCTGCGACCTTTCCTTGTCCGTTGTCAAGCGTCTGCACAGGACCGAGCCTGTTTCCCAATAGTTGCCTCATTCTGCAGAGCTCACCATCGCAGGGGCTGCTGCGTGCTTCGACTTGCGCTTCTTTTCTTATGTCCGGCCGGTGGGGGAAGGTTTTGCCAGTCCTTGATACTACACATCATTGCCTTTTTCATCCCTGATGGTTTATCCGGTCTTTTTCCTTCCCAGCCCCCGTTCGCCCTGACTTTTCTTCTGTGGACGAGAACGGATCGGAGCCAGGGATAGCCTCAGGGGAAAACAGCCCAGAGTGGGACTACGGAAAGAACATGTGACCACTGGTCCGGGGCGAGGGGGACCCGCCGTGAACCTTGCCGGACGGTTTACAGGAACCGAGCGAGTGGAATACGTGGAGGGAGAGGGACACACTAGCAGGGCCAAGTGAGTGGCCCCTTGCTCAATACGTGGGTGGCCTAAGGGAAAAGGGTAATGGGACTAGGGTGGGGGAGGGCGAAAGGAGGATGCCATTGCCAGGGGTAGGCATGCTTTGCTTGGTGAGCTCACGCCCAAAGAGAGCAGGGAAATGCTGCCCCCGATAACCCCCGATAAACCCCCAATAAAAGCCGCTCAAGGTGGATACTTTATTTGCTACAAGTACGAGAGAAACGCGGCGTTTTTTATCGAATCATAAGATAATAGTGTACACGTTGATCTTGATCGGCGTGGCTTCAGGATGCATCTGGCCGGGTGCGAGGGATTTGGCCTTTGCAGTGGGCCAGGGAGAGAGAGATAGAGAGGGAGGGAGGGAGGGAGGGAGAGGAAGAGTATGAGGAGTACGAGGGTGAGAGGGCGAGGGAGAGAGGAGAGGGTGAGAGATTGCACAAGTGAGGGAAGCGGGGAGAGGCATCATCGGTTAGAGCCTGCAGATCCCCGTTGCATCAAGCATTAATGAGAATTGTACCACTTCGGGGCAATGCCAGCCAGACCATGCCAGACCATCCATAGTACTTGCTCCGAAGGAAGACGCTTCATCGCCAGATGACGTCTGCTATCTCTCTCTTTCTCTCCCTCGCCATATGCGCGTGGAGAAGGAGGAGCTGCACAAGACGGTAAACTGAACTCGGCCCAGGAGGGGGTTGGACGTCCACGGGGTCTAGCAAAGAGCGAGGTCTGCAAAGGAGCCTGACCTGGAGAACGGCGGGGAGTCAAGGACTTGCAGATGAGGCACCGTCGGCGTCTACCGATGCTGAAAATCGGGGTTTGAGGTGCCCGCATTATGATAGGCGAGGGATGCATCAAGTTCCAAAAACAAAGGCACGTCTTCACCCGCCCCTCGCCGCCCACCGGGCCTTGCAAGAGGCTCTTAGGACCAATGACGCCTGATTATGGGGATCTCGAGGTCTGCCACGACCGGGCGGTGGTCAGAGATGTACACTCCGTCATCGAAGCGGTTTGCTAGCACGCCGTAGGTGGCCACATCGACCCCGCGACGGCTGCGTCGCCCGGCGGACCTGCAGCGAAGAGAAAGTCGATCCTCTTGGGGCCTTCGCCGGGCTCCCCAAACGAAGAGTACGTACACTCGTTCCCGTAGCGGGCATCCTCCGCGACTCTCTCGCGCACGTCCACCATACCGGAGCCGGGCGCGGTGAGGGTCCTGTAGCCCGGGTCGTCGGGGAGGCTGTTCAAGTCCCCGCCCAGCACGACGAGCTTGGGGCGCGGCCGAGGACGGCCCTCCTCGTCGTCCCCCTTTGCGCTTCGCGCACGACGGAGAGGACGAGCTCGGCGCTCCTCTCGCGAGCCTTGACGCCGACGTGGTCAAAGTGGGTGCTCATGACGACGACGCGCGTTCCCGTGAACACGTGCTTGAACCGACCGACCGTGACGATGCGGTTGAGGACGGCGTCCCACCCGCGCGAGGGCACGTCGGGCGTCTCGCTCAGCCAAACCGTCCTCCAGCCTTCGCAGGCCCATACTTCTGGCTGGTAGAAGACGGGCGAATACTCGCCGGCCTCGCCGCCGTCGCGGCCCTGGCCGATGTGGGCCCAGCGGGGCCGAGAGCGGACGATAGATCCTCTAGCTGGTGGTGGAGGACCTCTTGTAAGCAGAGGAAGCTGGACTCGAGGCCCGAAGTTGCGAACCGGAGCTGGGTCGCGAGCTTGGGGCAGCGAACGGGCCAGGGCTCCTCGTTCGGGGCGCGGTGGTCGGCGGCATAGCGGATATTGTAGGTGATTACGCGGATGGGCAGTGTGGTGCCCAAGGTTGTCGAGTTGGTCAACCTCATTGTTATGCCACAGGAGCTCCGCGTGACGCCTCGATCAAATTTGCCAAGTGGATAATGGGGGAAAGGGGGCCTGCTTCTGTGGCCCTAAAGGGTTGCCATAGACCGAGGGCCAGGTCAACCAAGGTGATGACGTCAATGAAGCCGGTAAAGGCCGTTGAAAAGAGGGCGAGGTACACGAAGACTGTCAGGATGAGGTGAATTCGTACAAGGTAGAGATAGCCGAACCAGTCGAACTATTTTCTGAGAGAAAAAAATAATATTACGATGGTGGCTCAGAAGCAGCAGTGAGTCGCGAAAGGCTATGGAGGACCGTTCGCCAAAGCGCGGTTCGCCCCCTCCCCGCCCCTGGGGCTAACTCACGTGCCGGACTTTGCCAATGGCTAGGTTCATCAACAACACCACCTTCGTGATTGATCAATCCGGACTTTTTGGGGGAGGAGCATGGGCGGGTAAGAAGTTCATGACCATTGGCAGCATGATTGCCTCCCTTGTGAACTTTGGTCGAAGTGGCCTGAAAAAATTGCTGCCTTGGACACATGGACCTGAGACCCGGCCGTCTTCTCCGAACGTGGCTCTCACACAAGCTACGCCATTCCTAAAAAACCCCCGAGACCAGCCCATCACTCCTTGTTTAACATCAATCACGCTTTGTCTACAGGTAGTATGTGCTACCAATCGAGCCCTCAAGATCAAGGAAGGCGGAAATAGTCTACCGATGCACGCTTATGAGGTCGATCTCTAAAATTGGCATGACCCATCCCACCAGACCATTCTACCCTAGCTCCGCCGACCCCCAGATGCCGGCTTAAGAATCATCTGGTGACTTGACCAGTAACCCTTCAAGGAACTCAGATCGGAGAGATCATGAAACTAAGGTGGCGATTTGGAGAAAAAAAAGTTCTTTGGGAGCCGAGCAAGAAAGGCTGCCCGCCTCGCTCCGGGGTGAACGATGTTGATCATCCCGGACCAAACGCCCAGCACACTCTTTGTGCGCAAGTGCTTGCCTTTTATTCAAGTATAAGAGTTGATTGATCATATACCCTCTTCCCCCTTCTGGCAAGGCCCTTACGTACAAGGAGGTTAGAAGTGGAAAGAACGGGCTAATAGTAGTATGAATATTTTCAAACCACAGGCACTCTGCTTCTTGAAGCGCAGGACTTCATGCTATCTCTCTCACTGTGGGCTATTAGCCCTTCTTGGTGTCAATCTTGTATCTTCGTCTTCTTCTGCTTCAGAAGAGGACATTTGTTACAACCACCTACATGGGAAGAAAGCGAGCGGCGAGTTTTGAGGCATAGCCGCATCAAAAGGTCCCACGACAACTGACAAGAACGGCTGCGGCCGCAGCGAGATACCAACGACACCTGTGAGAGGGAAAACCCAGGTTTACGGTCGTGGGAGGCGGAAGGTAATCTAGAAAATAAACCTGAGTCAGTCATCCGGAGAACGCCCCCGAAGTCTGCACGACGTCGGAGAATTTCTCGCGGTTCGGAGAATAGACGAACAGGGCTGTGAGGTATGCGTTCGCGCATGTTTGATCTCCCCGTCATCTGAAGGTTTTGGTATGGCAGTCTCCACTCTTATGGATGGGCACAAGTATGGATATCCAAGAACGAGGATTTCTACGGGTCTCTCTTGCGATCGCCATTCCCAGGTCCAGGTAGGTCGAAGGTTTTCAGGGTGTCGCCGTGGCCGCTTTGTCGTTCTCGAGTAGGTTAAAAGAAGGGAAGGATAGGCGCATCATCTCGTATAACGGTTAGACTAACCCGACGGACGTCAGGAACACCTACGCGTTGTTATTTCAAGATGACCGCACCAAGTTGAGATGCAAGATCATGGCCAGGTGCGCACAAGGCCAGGCTTTGCCTCGAAAAGACATAGTGGGCAAGGTCATCTCCGGCTTACCTACGCCTAGTTTGTCGACTAACGAGGAGAAAGAGATGGTGATATGGATCTCGTGTGATCTTCCTGAACTCCTGATCGTCTGTTGGCAGGATCCTGGGGAGCACAGAGGTGTGCTGCTGAAAGGGGAGGGGGCGGAGAGGAGAAGACGAGACGGTCCTACCCTCCTTAGTTACGAGATGACGGTGAAGTGGGCATCATGGCTGCTAATTCTCCATTTATAAGCAGGGAAAAACTAGAAAATGGAATGGGAAAACAGGACTCGCAAACCGTAACAGGTCGAAAACGCCATGGCCTAGCGGGGACGCCGAGGAGATGCCCAGCCAGTCTTCTCCCTGCTTGAGGGGGAGCACAAGGTGGATATCTACCGGGACACAACGAACGAACTTGGAAATAAATACTTACAGTCATGGTTTAGCACGTGTCACGGGGAGTCTGCAACCCTGGAAAATCCGCATCGCTGCGTTGTCCGCCTGGCTGTAGAGGATGGATATCTTGTAGTCGTGACGATCCCGGCGTCGGTCAGCTTATTTTGCGCTACTTCCACGCTCCCTGGCATTCACGTTAACAGGGCCGGTGGCGATTAACTGTAGACTTGAAATTCCGTTTCTTTCTTCATGATCTCGAGAGATCAAATTATGTTGGCGACGGACGGCGGGTGACCACATCGAAACAGGGCGGCTGCCTTGTCAGCCTGCTGCGCCCATCGATGGACACACACACACCCACCCACGCACACGGAGGAAAAGAGTTGACCGAGCGTTTCGGTGTGACTCGGTGCTCTCCTGGACTTTCCCCTAGTTAAGGAGGGAGTAGAAACGCAGTCCGCGTTAAGTACAAAAGGGGTTGATATCCCAGCATTGTTTCCCCCTCAAGATCCGGTGACCAAGACAAGGAAACAGAGGATCCGGCAATATCAAGTTCATCAGTGACCAAGCGATCAAGGAATTTCTCCTCGCATCCGTTCTTCCAGTTCTATTCCGAGACGACCCCTGTCCTGCTCCGGTCATACCTGCCGCCTTCCGCTCCGTGCCTCAGGCTCACCAACGCCAGGCAGCACTGGTAGCCTCCCGTCTACCTAGTCTTGGAAAACACTTATAAAGCCGCACGCAAAGATGCCCGTGTCGCCGATACACCATCCAGCTATCGACTCATGGCCACCGACGCAGGTGCACCTCAGTCCACGCATCCTGGACGAGGCCGCTCTTATCAGTGATCAACCATTCTCGTACTTCCTCATGCCAGGCGCGACCTACGACTCAGACGACGACTTCTCCGACTTGGATGCCGGTATCGAGGGTACCGGATTCAGCTCTGCACGCGGAAAGTCTGGCGCCTCCAACCTCTCGTTTGAGTGCAGCATCAAAACTGGCCGCCCGAGCCTCGCACTTACTGCCGTGGCGTCGGACGACTCCTCTGATGAAGAAGACTACATCCGCCTCCCTCCCGGCGGGTTCGGCCAGCTCTATCAACTCGCAGACCCGTGTGTAGCCGTTGAAGACGGAAAGAGCGGTAGGCACGCCAAAGAACGGAGCAAGAAGAAGGCCTTTCAAAAAGTTGCCAGGGTCGCCCGAGGAAGGTCGGCGACGAGGCAGGACGACGACCAGGACCCGTCTCGGCTATCCGTCATGATGGGCAAGCGTTCGCGCAGAGCCTGGAGGGAGCCTAGCCCGTATGTGTGGAGCATCGACGAGGAAACCGAGGGCTCGCGGGAGCTCCATCAAAAGGAAGCACACGATCTCGGGGATTCGAAACACGTCGTTGTCACAGAACAGCAGCTAGTAAACCGCGCTAGCGCCGCACCTAGGCCCCGGTCTGCGCTGGCTGGCGTCCGTCAACTCGAGTTTGACGATGCCAAAGTGGCCGCAAAGCTTAAGGAGCGCAAGGTTCGATTCGTCTTACCTCAGGAGGCCTCAAGGTGAGACATGAGTTAGCGAGTGGGCGAAAGCGGAAGATGAGAGACGGGAATGCTCGCGAGGGGGCTAGAACGGGTCGGACTCATATGGGACATACGAACGGAGGAGCAACTGGTGGCATCCCTACACAGGCGTTTCTGTTTTTTTTTTTTTTCGTATCTTTTTTGTCTCCCCTTTTGGATCTTTTCAACCTGCCTTTGATACCAACATAATCGGATGATGGCACGACACCGAATTGGTGGAGGAATATTAATATGTAAAATATTAGTTGGTGGGCCTAGAATAGAGAGACAGATCTCCTTGATCCAGATATAATGTTTTAAACCACCGATTCAGCCCAAGACTTGCATCGTTTGGTGCCTCCATGTATTCTCTAAGCCATCGTAGCCAACGAATCTCCCCGGAGGACCCGAGGGAGACTTAGCGCTGCATACGCAGTTCGTTTCAAGTTCCTACAGCACGCACCGAGGGGCCTTTCGTGATAGCTGCGCGTGAAGCGCGCAGGCATCGAGGGAAGGAAGGGGAAAAAGGGACGAAGCTCAGCGCCCTGCATCGGGCAAGGAGGGACTCACGGAGCAAGCCAAGAGGTTGACGGCTGCAGAGCTGATCTGGCTTCTGTCAAGCAAGCAAGATGGGCGTGCAGTTGGGGACAGATCGTGGTCAGGAGCGCTGCGACCTGCATGTGTGAATACATGTACGGGCTGAGATGGATGAAGCTTTATCGCGAGGGTGCTTCTCTCCTCTCTCCGGCGTTGTTTTATTAGGCAAAACCGTACGATTTCTAGTTTCCTCGGGGGTTTCTTTTCTTCTTTTCATTTGGTAGTGGACTGCTTCCTCTTTGCGGACATGAAACATTCGGTCCATTTACATCGGCCTAGATGCTCTAAACAGGACGCGGGAAGGAGTGGTGGCTCTGCCTTGACCAAGGCAAATAAATGTTCACACTCTTTCGTTATTTTGCTAGCTAGTTCCTTGATTCAGAAACTAGGCATCCACGTTCTCAAGAGATCAAGTGATGATGCATTCTTGTTTCGACTAGGTATTTTATGTGTTTCCGTTTTCGCTCCTCTTGTCTCGCTTAATGTAAAGAGGCTCGGAATTTTCTTTCCACTTCCCCGCCTGCTGTCTTCCATTCTCTAAAAGATTCAAATAAAAATTCCTCCGAGGAGGGGCGGGAGTTGCCGACGTCGACGGTATTAGGACCTGGCTTTGAGACCCGCCCCATGGTGAGAGCGATTCAAGAAGTTGTGCCGATTTGAGATTGGCGAGACTTGGAGAGAGATAGAGAGTATGATGTCACTCTGGAAGCAGCGAGCGCAACATTGACGGTAGGGAACTTGAAGCGGGAACACTTGGCGCTCAAGGACGGAAAGACACGAGGGGCTATAACAAGCGTTCTTTTTTTTACGGGGCGGGCGGCCGGAGAAAATCAAGGTTGGATTCAAACGAACGGCAGGGAAGAACTTGCCGCGAGTTTCTCTTTGACCAGGGCGGAAGTTGAGTTGATGCAGTAAAATGTGGCGCTGGCAGCTGCTCACGCCGCTAACCACCCCTTTCCCTCACATTCCTGATCACGAAAAGCAAGAAGCGGAAAAAGAGGATGAGGGGAGGGAGCAAAGATGGGGAAACTGAGTACTTGTGGATAACGAGCGGGCGACAATGACACTCTAGAAATGCCGGGATGTTATTTTGGGGCACCCTGTCCGAGATATTAGTCGGGATGTGGAAGAGAAGAGGCCGAGAGACACTTGTGTGGCTGATTCGGAGGTACTTTGGCGGCACGGTTCTGGTACTCGCCGTTACCTTGGTGGGGGACACGGGATAATTGCATAAACCGCAAGACTCAATCTTAATCCTCGTTTATGTCTCTATGCTATTTCTCCAGCTCCGCTTGATCACCCTCCTCCTTCTACTCGACCTTTTCCGCCGCCGGCGCAGGCGCAGGCGCAGGCGCCGCTGCGGGCTTTTCGCCCTTTTCCTTCTTCTTCTTCTCCTTCTTAGCCGGCCTCAAAGCCAGCTGCGCCAGCTGCTCTTGCAGGAGCGTGTTACCCCTGGACTCTAGCTTCCTGGGCTTCATAAAGGACGCGAGAACCTCGTCCGTCACATCCTTCCTCTTTTCCTGAACTCGGCGACATACTCCTGGAGCAGGTCGATGGCCATCTTTTTAAGCTCACCCGTGAGGAGTTCGCCCTTCTTGTAGTCGCTGTAAACCGTCTTGAGCTTCTCGTCATCGTCTTCAAAGTAGGTGAGGTAGATGTACGACACATCGACATCAGGTTTCCGCCAAGTTCACGGTGAAGCTCAAGCGTCTCTTGGCCGCCGCTAAAGGCGAACTTGTTGATCTTGGTCTAAAGAGAGAGAAAATTCAGTGCGTGAGTGGCAATCATTCTTTGTTTAACCGCTGATGGGAGGCGGGGTTTGGCGCGGAAAAGAAATGTACTATAGTAGATGCATACCTTAATCTGCTTAGGGGTATCCGTCATGAAAATAGCAGAGTTGGGGTTCGACGCGGACATCTTTCCTCCGGGGCCCTGGAGGGCCGTCAGGAACTTGAATGGATCAGCGCCGGCTTGGGCGAAGGGTTCTTCATTCTGCCAGCATTGTCTCGAAGCAGACGGAAGTAAGGGTCCTGGTCGATACCCATGGGGATCAGGCACTGGATGGCGGCAATCTCCTTGGTGCGCTCCTTGGGGGTTCCTCCGACCACAGTTGAGGGTAGGAGGTGGCAAAGGCCGCGACGCACTGGACCGAGGGGAAGAAGATCTTGCCGATGTTGGTGCTCTCGTTGAAGCCGAACGCGCCGCGGACCTGGTTGTACGTGACAAGCTTGGAGAACTCCCAGGCATTCATGAGGAAGTGACCATTGACGTACTCGAGATCGCTGAAGATGAATGTCTTCTTGACGTCGAATCCTAGAGCAATGAGATCCTTGGCATTCTCCAATCCGTACTTGTGAGTGTCCTCAAAGGTGAGGGTATCCTTGAAAAGGGCCTTTTCGTCGTCCGTCAACATGAATACAAGAGGCACGTCAAAGACTTCCTGAAGCCAGCGGGTAAATTGGAGGGGAATGGTGTGCCCCAAGTGCAAGCTGCCGGAGCTGGGCCCTCGGCCCGTGTAGAGGAAGAAAGGCTCGCCCTTTTCATACTTGTCGAGGATCTTGTCGAAGTCGCGGTGGCTGAAAAACAGGCCTCGTCGGAGCCAGCGGTGCGGCTTGTGGCCTGTTAGACGCTCGAAGCGCTCCAGGATCTTCTCGTCGATAAGGGAGGTGTTCCATTTCCTAAGATCCCACGCACACCATGCGCGCATTGATTAGCAGGAACGAGCAAAGAGCGCCGCGTGGAGGGTCTTTGACGTCGAACAGAGAGATGATTCAAGATGCATGGAGGGGGAGGGCGAGTTATAGTCGCACCTGGAGAGGTTGAGGTAGTCAATCGCAACTACCTGGCCGGACTCGTCCTGGGCGCCCTCAACGGACCAAGGGTTGATGTCCTGCTCGCGAGACGCCGCGGGGTCTTGCCCGGCAGCCGGGTCCGGAATGGGCGCATCGGACTGAGGTGGCACGGTGCCTTCGGTCGCCATTGTGTTTTTTTAGTGGATTTTGGGTTCGAACTATGGATGCGGGGAAGGACTTTCTTCTTTCTCGTGATGCCTTTTTTTTTCTCTTTGCCTCGCTTGATTTGGTGTTAGCCCGTTGTGACGTGGCCGCTCGTCTCAAACTATGAGGGATGAGTAAAGGGTCGGCATACGTAGACGTAAATGTGTCAGTGTGACTCGATTCCGCAAAGATCAGTCTTGGGGATATATCCGGCGCACATATCACTCTTATTTTTCCCGTCGCCCGCACACACGAGATTCGTCGGCGTGGATCAATCGTGCCTCACACAGTTCTACACTAAACGGCTCGAGATCGTGCGGGGCATTTTCCATCAATGGAGGGGCACGGCAAGAGACTTGATACCTGTCCAAATTCGGCCGTTGCCCCGCCAGCCGGGGTTGTACTCGTACGTACAGCGGTCCGCACCTGTGGGCGGGTGTGGTCTCTGGATAGGTGCAATACGGATATTCGACTATGGGGGAGGTCGTGCGGGAGCTCGCATGAGGTACCGCTTGAGCCACACGCAGCCTGCATTGAATCGGATCCAACCTTTGGCCCCACTTCCCAGCTGGTGTGTGCCCACCAAGTACTCATGTACCAAGCCTGGTGTGGTGCAACGGAGCGAGGACAGTCCCATTCGTGTGCCGTGCCAAAATCCCTGGACTCGGTACCATGACCTCATGTGGAGCCTCTGATTGGTTGTTGGCGGCCTGGATTGTTTACATTTGCTTGTGAGGAACCAAAGGTGGTGTGTGCGCCTGTGGTCATGAAGGCCGGAAGCTTGAGCAGTTCCTGATAGCAGAACAGGAGCTGGTGTGGGTTCCCATCTGTCATTACCGGTCCCTCTCAATCATCGCCCATTTTCGAGGCTTTGCTTTCTTGTTGGCGGTCCACTTCCTCTGCGCTGGCGACCAACACGAACAAGCCTGGCGCATTTTCCTTCGCTCACCTCCCGATACACACGCCCTTTCTTTGCTTCTTCTTCATCTCTTTCCCACGACACACCTCTCCCCCGATCCACACTCTCCTACGTTTGTTATTTTTATTTTACCTTGCATATATCTTGTCGTAGATCGGTGTTTTTTATTTTTTAGCGTCAGGAGTTGTGTTATTTTGTTTTGGGCTCCCCTTCCATCTCCGCTAGTCCTCGATACAAACTCTTTGTATGAAGTTGTTTTATTTTCCGACATTGATGAACATCCCTGGTCATTCAAATCGACCACTGGCTATACCTCGCTCGGCCGCGCCTTCCGCCCATCGCTGCAAAAACAACCGGCCTTTCGAACCCGAGATTATTGAATTTTTCTTCTTCCCTGACCGGATCGCAACTAACTTCCTGATTGCGGCCAGAATGCCATTTTCATAATAGGTTTGTCCGCTTCTTCTCCAATCAGCTCTTCCCTCGTTTCCACAAAAAAACAACACACCCCAGTGGTTCCTGCCGCCTTATAATCGGAGCTGCCCACATGGCACACCACCATCCGCACCAACAAAGTCTACTCTCAAGGAACCAAACGTTCGACCAAGCGGTCAACCCCTGGCACTAAAACCTAGACACCCCGAACTCGCGCGAGGACCTCACTCTGTGCCTGAATGTGCGCCATGACCGCATCATCATATGACTAACAGTCGCCGGACTCAGAACACTCAGAACATGTCGATCCAAAACGAGTCCGACGAGCCTTCCACGCCCACACGGCCCTCGGCGGGATCTCCCGCCAACGACAAACTTGAAAATGCCACCGCCCCAAACCAGAACGGCGCGCCCGGCGATGCCCCAGCTACTGCGACTACACCCAAGAGCGCACCCGCCGCCGGCACTCGACAGCGCGCATACACAAAGGGCGAGGGTCCGCCACCGACCCTTCTCGTCGACTTCCTCAGGGGACGTCCCTCGCCGGCGAGACTAGCTGCCCAGAGACAGCGCCGGATGAGTGTGGACGCCGTCAAGGCGGAGATCAGGCAGGAGATGAAGCAGGGCGCGGTTCAAAGGCTCCAGCAGCCGGGCGGTGTACGGGATCGGGTCAAGGCGTGGCAGAAGTCTAATGCCGCCGCCATGGCTGCAGGCGACCCCATGGCCACGCCTAGCGAGCCGACAGAGGTTGCCTTCCCGGACGAGACCAGGAGCGTGACCGAAGACGACAGGATGCGCATTAAGATGAGGAAGAAGAAGCGCGACCCGCCCAAGATCGTGGTAGAACAACCGGCCCCAACTCCCGCGCCGAAATCAGCTAGCTCAGGCGAGACGAAGCCTGAAAGCGCAGAGACGGTCAGTCTGCGCAAGAAGACGCCGCCCAAAAGAGGGTCGTGAGCGACGATCACTGGATGAGTGGAAAGAGGGAAGGCAAAAGAGGACCAGCCCACCTCGGGCTCGCAAAAGTCGCCAGTCGGCACCCCTATGCCCATTCCCAAAGACTTTTTACAACGTACCGCCCAGAATCCTCCGGCCTCCCAAAAGTCCGGGAGTGGGCGAAGAAGGTGGAACCTGTACCCCCTGCCGATGGGCCTGGGGAAGCAGGCACCGGCCGAGCAAGTCCGCTGATTACTCCCGCTCGTCCGACTCGCTGCTCGACTCGGAACTGAGTGGCCTATCGTCAAGAGCGCCGTCTACTCCCCGTCGGTCGCGTACACCGGCAAAATCCGAATACTCCTTAGATGATGACGGCATCCGTGTAACGCCTATGAAGGAAAGCAAAACGGAGGAGAAGAAGGAGAGGAAACCAAAAATTGTGGAGAAGGAGTCTAACTTATCCGTCCCATCTACCACAAGGACGGATCCCCCTAGACGATGGTATCCGCGTGCGTCCTATGTCTGGCCCGGCTAGGACCGATAATGACCGGAAGAAGGGTAGTCGGAAACCGTCCAAGACCCCGCCGAGCGTTGTCCACAGCGTGGCCCCCAGCATAGCGCCTTCCCTCTCACTGCGAGACAGGTCACCATACGATTTGATCGACCGAGGCAAGGACGCAGAAAGTAGCGCGGTGATGACCAGTATCGCAGACGAGCCGAACACCCCTTCACGGCGCAAAGTTTCCAAATCCACGCCCAAACTTGGCCAAAAACCAACCTCTGCGCCTACCGAGATCACACAAACAACGCAGACATCCAAGACCACCGAAACGACGGAATCAACAGAGTCTACGGAAACTGATCTGCCTGAAATGGCCGGGGGCAGGTCGCCTGGCGCTTCTACCAACGGCTCTGGAGAGCTTGGGGAACAGCCATCGGTCATTGAGTCCAGTGGCCCCACTATGGCTGAAATTCCCGTTGGGAAATCTGCTTTCAGTGAGCTAGATCTTCCGCTTGGGGCGGACGCGCGGAACAGTACCAAGAGGCCGAAACCCCAGCGGAATCCCAGCCTGAGCGCGGTGCCAAAGGTGTTCAAACGGGTTGTGAGTGAGGGCAAGAAGATGATGCAGCCCGAGCCACAAAGGCCAGTAGGCGTCAACAAGCCCCCGAGCATCGAGACCTGGCTCACAAATACCGTGGATCCCTTTGTCGATGTACCCGCCAATGGAGAGGCCCCCAACCCTATCAAGAGGAGGAAGTCGGCCGAAAAGAAATGGGCGGCGGATAATCAGACGAGAGGTGCCGCCACCGTAGACGACACAACGCCAAAGAAGGCTTCCCCTCAGCCAGAACCGCCCCACGACGAGGACGAGGAGAACAAAACCCCCAAGGCCTCCGAAAAACGAAAATCGGTTGACGCCACAACAAAAACCCCAGGAAAGACGCCTCCTTCGAGCGGCCTGAAGAGAAAGGGCGCCACGAGAGGTGTTGCCTCTCCGCTCAAGGTTAGCCTCAAGAAGCCTTTCCGTGAAGCGCTCAAGGAGGCATTCAAGGGCCAGTCAAGCAACCAAATATTTACCCAAACAAGCTACGAAAGTCGCGAGGAGAGGACTTACAAGGCCATTGATTCCGAAGTGTCGTTTGAGGAGGAATGCCGCGACCCACAGTGTCAGTGTCAACAACGGCAACATGAGGACGATGGTTCCAGAAGACGGTCACGGTCGCCTGATTCCTTCGACAGCCGAGATTTTGAAGACGACCGAACGACGTCGTCCTCTCTACCCGAACCGCGCAGAAGACCACCTACTAACGGGTTCCACGAGCTCTCTACCATTGTATCAGAAGAGTCGTGCTCCTCTCATGATAACGAAACTATGTCGACGGTGTCACAGACCACTGTTACGCAGACAACCGTTACGAGGGATTCGGAGCTATCGAGGCGGTCAAGCCAAAAGCCAGGGTTGAAGCGAAGGCTTACAAAACATTCGGATTTGGTGTCGGTCCTTTCCGTGCCCGATGATAAGAGCGTACCTCTGGGTGTTAAGAACGCGAGATCACGGCCCAGCGTGAGGCGAACCCGCAGCAAGCGCAGCACCGTCACGACTAACGACCTCCTCGGGGAGTTTGCCGACGACGAGACCTTTACCACCGAGAACTCAAGACCCTCGTTGACGGCGTCATTCCGGTCTTGCTGAACTCAGTCATTGGCGAAAATACTGACCTAGCAACGCTCTTTGGACCCGCCACGCCGGGTCGAAAGTCGACGCCCTGTCCAAGGCTGTCGTCAGCATGGGCATCTCCCTCGAGAAGCTCAAGAATGCGCATCGCAGGCCCCTGCGGGCGACTTGGACCGGCTCGTTCCCTGGCTCGAAGGGGTGGGCGTCATATACAGTGACTACCTGGACGCGTGGAGGTTAGGGTTCGAGAACCTCGTCGTCAACCTGGCGCCCGCCTCCGACGTACCCGACGATCAAGACTCGCTTCTCAACGCCCTCCCTAGGAACGCAGACGGCGATATCGTAAATGAGGATGGAGAGCGAGTCGATGTCGCGCATCTCCTGAGGAGGCCCATCGCCAGGATTAAAACTCTAACCAGCTTCGTCAGGGTAAGGTGCCCCCTCACCCGTTGTAGCAGTTGACTAAACCAGCTCGTATGAGATTGCTAATATTTCCTATCTTCATTTTCCAGGCACTCCACGATACTATTGGCTCGGATGGTACGGCATCCCTGGTTGGGTGCTTCGCGTCCCTCCAGGACAAGGCGCGCAAGAGGCACAAGGAGGAGCGTGCTCGCGTCACGGATGAAGATGCGGCGAACACAGACACCACCAGAGCTCGAGATCTTCGCACACTCGCAGCCATGGGGTACATCAAGATCGATGCTGGCCTCCAGGTCAGCGCCAAGGACGTCTTCAGTCTGTCGTTATATCATTCAAACGGCCAGAGGATGAACTGCCAAGTAGAGCTCGTTCACCGAGACGAGCCTAGCATGCCAAGCTACCCTGGCGAGGTGCTGATAAGGCAGATTGGCGAGGGCCAGAGGGCATGGCTTTTATTCCCGCCGATGCCGATGGGATCTTTATCGGCGCGCAAGCTCGATGGCGGGCGGGAACTGATCGTGATGGTCCGGGAACCCACAACGGACAGATATGGAGGGAGCTCCTGCGCCTCGCAGCGGATGACGAGGGGCAGATTGACGATTGGGTAGACATTCTGGGGACTCTTCCTCTGCCGCCGCTCGAACTTGAGCCAGTGGCCCCAGTACCCGAATGCGGGTCGCCACGGTCGATGGCGATCGACGTTCCTCTCGGCGCGCAGCGATCGCTGGAGGACGGGCAGAGCTCTCCCAACAGGCCGCTCTCGGAGCCCACCACGCCGACAACTCCCACGACACCAACCCAGGCCCTGGTTCCTAGCCGGTACCACTCTCGCGGGCCCCCGCCCTCGTATCAACTTGAAGTTACCGCACCTCAGCCTCCGACTCATCGTGAGCCGCTGATTCCTCGAGAAGACGCGCAGGATCCAGCCAAGCCCAACGCAACGCCATACAGATCGGACGGGGCCCCACCACCACCGATCCATCGCACGTTTGTAGCGCCCAAGTCCAAGTCCAAGTCCTCGACGCTGCAGCCGCCTGCCAACGGACGGGTGAAGCGCAAGACTTCGTCGCCGCTGAAGCACGAGTATCTACCCTCGGAAGCTTCCTCCGAGGCCGAGGAAGAGGACGATTCGTTTAGCGAGTCTGAAGAGGATGAGTCCGACATGAGCTCGGAGAGCGACTCGTCGGGCGACGACATCGATAGCGTGGATATTCCCGACACGGAGGTGGGCGTTAGCATCAAGCACCCTCACTCGGAGGTGACGGAGTCGCTGGTTTCTGACGCGAGCCTCACGCCTTCCAATTCTGCGTCTCAAGGTGGGCTCCACCGTGGAGACCATTACAGGCAGCAGGTCCAAACCGAAGAATATCAACAGGCCACTTATCATCAACCCCAAGAATACCAGACCCAGTACCAAGAGCCATACCATCAACCGCAACAGCAGCAGGAGCAGCAACATCAACATCAACATCAACAGCCGGGCCTTGTAGAACTCACCGATGAGGTCCGGTTCGTATGCTCGGTCTCACACTGGCATGACAAGCGGGGTATCTGGAAAGACCTGTCCAGCCACATGTGCTCCGTCGTAGTCTCGGACGGCATGATGGAAGCGTTCTCGCTCAAGTCGGGTAGGAGCCCAGGAACGGACAAGCCGCTGATTGCGCTAGACTTGACGCCCGTCGTGCTCGTACGTAAGAGCAACGCCCTAGACCTAGAGGTGCGGACGGCGGTCCTAGGCCAGAGCAAGATCACATCGATTAGCGGGGGCACGTTCCGATTCCGCAACTCCACGCAGGAAGAGTGCCTAAACCTGTATGCGGCGGTACATGGTGCCCGGCTCAAGAACGAAAAATACATGCAGCTGGAGAACGAGATGCGCTTCAAGAGCTTCGGGGAACGACGTGTCGGGGATGGTGATGAGAACGGAGGGCGCCGCGCGAGGAACTGGTTTGGACGCAAGAACAGCTACAGGGCGTCGGCGCGGGCGCCTGCGCGATCGGTGGACGAGGCAAGCACGGCGGCGTCATCGTCCATGTCGGCGACGAGCTTCCTCAAGAGGCTGACGGGAGGCGCGAATCTCTCGTTCAACATTGGGCGGTCGTCGCTCGAGAAGCAGAACGGAGGCGGAGCGATGAGCTTCTACACGTCGGGATCATCGTCAGCGGGGGTAGCACGCCGCGGTCGCCGTCTGTCAGCATTGACGGCACGGGACGCGGGGAGGCGATTAGCAGCGACAACGTGCCGATTCGGCTGCACCTCCTCGTGAGCGCGAGCAAGTGGGAGGACTGCGGTAACTGCCGGTTGCAAGTGCGCCGACCGCCCGAGGGGTGGCGGCAAGAGCTGCGGGCCAACCACGGACTGGAGAAGCGGGTGACGGTGACGACAATACCCAAGAAGCGAGACGGGTCGGAGGCGCCGCGGGTGGTGTTGGACGCGGTGCTGGGCAGCGGATGCTTCACCACGATGGGCACGAGGGGCATCATCTGCTCGGTGTGGGAGGAGATGAGGGACGAGCAGGGCCGGATGGGGCACATTCCCCACACGAACAACCCGGGAGGCAGCGTCAAGAAGTGGTGCTTCCAGCTGTCGGGCGTGGCTCAGGCGAGCTGGTTGCTGACGCTGTTGCATGAGGAGGTTGTGAGGGCGTAAGAAGAGCGTTATCTTTTTCTTTTTCTATCTTTTTCTTTTTTTTTTTTTCCCCTTTTCCTTTTCACTTATCCCCCTTCCGGTGTTTATTTCAAGGAAGGAAGGGCGAAACGACTCAAGATTCAGATACCCGTCTTATAACAGATTTATACAGTTTTCCAACTTTATGAGCAGCTCTGCTCTTTTCATGTCTCGGTTTGTCTTTTGGGGAAAGCCATATGCCCTTTTTTTCTACTAATACAGAGAAGGTTTTTTTCTCTCTTTTCATTTTCTTCGACGGAAGGGGGTCTGGGATGCATCGTGTCTTGGGAGCGCTACCAGGCGGCACAAGATGGGGGTCGAGATGGGGAGGGAGAAGTATCCAACGGCTCGATGAATGTTAGACGTTACTACGATATAGGTTAAGGTTAGGGTTGGGGCAGGTGCGAACAGCTCTGGGAGGCTGGGTTTCTCCATGTTGGCTTCTTTTTTTTTTTTTTGCATCATTTTTCGTTTCTTTACTTCACGGCTTGGGTCATCTTATAGAAAACGTTATATATCCATATCCATATCCATTCTGCCTTTTTCTCTCGCTTTGTAGTCTTCTGTGTAATAGTCGCTGGCTATCCCTACCTTGAAAGGGTGTCTAACACATGATAATCGTAGCTTAGAAGAATAACTCTAATTGATAGATGCGAGAAATGCGATGGAAAGATTAAGATGGATTTGAATTACGCCGCCTATATAACTCCGCCAACGTACAATACTGATGTCGAGTGATGTCCGACCCAGAGAGAGCAAGAGAGAGAGACCCAATTAAAGGAAACCATACAGGTTGGTAGAGGGGAAGAAAATAGCGAACCAAGAACAAAAAACAGAAAACAGAAAACAGAAATCGCAGTTGGAGGTGACTATGTCGAACCTCGAGAGGATCCGTAACGCCAATGGTCGAAGCCAAGACCCAGCCGGAAACAAAACATCATGCATGCAGGAAATTGATTTTTTCCTTGAGATTTTCATCGTTACCAAGAAGGAAGGAACCTTGCTGTTTGTTCTTCTCCTTGCTTAATTGCGTTGATTTCTGTCTTTTTTTAGTTCTTGGAGCCCATGAACCAGTACCTAGCATGACGTGTTAGCATGAGGAGTTTTGAAAAAGAAAAACGAGAGAGAAAAAGCTTACTGAGCGACATAGTCGACCTGGAACTTGTCGGGCATGCCCTTACACGAGGCGGCGGGGCTGCCACCGACGGTGTTGACGCGGTAAACCTCGGCGAGACCCTTGGTAGCGCTGCCCTCCTCCTCGCGGACGAGGAGCTTGAGCCAAGCTACAGCCTTTTCGGACTCGAGGCCGGCGGCGGCGGTGACGGGGGCGGGGGTAGAGTTGTTGAGCTTGACGGTGATGTGGCCGGCGCCGGCGAGGTCAATGTCGAAGAAGGGCTGGGCGAGGGAGTTGAAGTAGTGGATGCCCGAGACGGTCATGGACTGGGGACCGATGCGGGAGGAGGCGCGGTCGGTGCGAGCGTTGGCGTCATCGGAGGAGGAGAGGACGGCGAGAGGGTCGGGGATGGGGGTAGGAGATGGAGAGACGGGAGAGGGCGTCGAGGAGGTCGGCGTGGGTGGAGGCGAGGCAGGTAGCGTCGTAGAGGATGGCGACGGCGCCGGCGGCCTTGGGGGCCGCGGAGGGGTCGGCGGGGTCGCAGGTGTAGTTTTGGGTGCCGCGGCCGATGGCGACGTGTTGGAGGGAGAGGCCCTTGGCGGGGCGGGGAGGGACTCGGGGACTGCGGGGCGATTGGGTGTTAGTCTCTGATGTGAAGGGTTTTCCCCAATGGATAGTGTTTATATATATTGATATCAATTACGTACTGATGGGGAGGACGGCGCGGGAAGGGTCGCAGGTGGGAGGGAGCCGGCGAGGGACTTGTAGCGCTGGACTTTGCTGGCGAGGAGGTTGAAGTAGTCGGAGAGGTGGTCGACGGCGTCGAGGGCGTTGGCGGCGCCGAGGTCGAGGAGGCGTAGGTGGGTGCGGAGAGGGCGAGGGCGGGGAGGAGGGAGGCGGAGAGGAGGTTGAGGAGCTTCATGGCGGCGAGGGTTCTTTTTGTCTGGGTTGTCTCTTTTGTTTGTAGTCGTTCTGATGAAGGAGAAGAAGAAGAAGAAGCGAAAGGCGAATACTGGTGAGAGACAGAAGATCCGGAAATGCAATGTAGGAAAAAGAAGAAGAAAAAGAAGAAGGAAATGGACACTATAAGACCGGACGATGGACAGAGAGAAGAAAAGACGAAAAGAAACAAAAGAAAGAGAAAAGGGAAAAAGAAAGTTCGTGTGGATGGAATATAACTATTTCGGTGGTGGGAATGAAGTAGTAGAATCGAACAGGACTCAAGATCACAAGAGGTGCGATGAGGGAGGGTATGTCATTTATTATAACCGTCGAGATGCAAGCTACGCACCCACCACCCACGAAAGCAGCCGAGAGACATTGTGTACAAAAGATACCAAGAGACAGGGCGCTTCTCCTTCTCAGTCCTTTCCCCCTTTCCCCGGCCATCCTGTCGCGTACCGAGCGATAGAGAGAGGGAGGATACTAGGTGTGGTGGAGGAGGAGGTGGGCAAGGGCCAAGAGCCAAGGGCGACAAAGGGGATAGGCTACGCCCGGAGAGTGGAGGGTTCATCCGTCAATTTGGATCCATGTCCATGCCGAGAGGAATATGCGCGCGGCGGCTACGGGACGGATGGAATTGGCGGGCTCGAACATTTTGTGTGGGGAGATGGAGACTGGACAAGAGTACTGAGGTACATTGAGAGAGAGAGAGAGAGAGTGTGTGTGTGTGTGTGTCTGTCTGTCTCTGTCTCTTTGTGTGTCTGTGTCCAAAGTGCGGTACCCATAATAATAGATTGCTAGCGTGTGATGGGCGGCAAACACTGCAGAAAAGGCGCGGAGAGCCAGGGATTGGAGGCGTTTGCTCTTTTTGGATACATTGGCGAGGGAAACGAGCAGGGATGTGGGAAAAGAAAAGGAAGAAAAAGAAAAAAGAAAAAAAGCGGCCACGACCACGACTATTCTGCCAGGGTCTGGTCTCGCTCTCGGCAGGCCTGCAGGCGCGCGCCGGGCGCGGGACCAACAGAGGACGAATAAGAAAGAGGAACGGCACCAAGACTAGAACAACCAAGGACAAAGAGCACTTGAGCAGAAAGGTATAGATGTGTAGCGTGTGCGCATAGATCGATCGGGGATAGGAAAAAAGCGCCCTTTGCACAGCGAATTGAAGGACCAGGATCCCCTTTCCAACCTCTCCCCCTTCTCCGTTGTTCTTTTTCCTGGTTTGCCGCGTTGCCCAGCAAGCTCAGCGGCGACCCATGGGCCTCTGCTTCCCTTGCCCTTGGGCCTGCTTTCGATGACCTGGGCGAGAGAAGAGGTCTAGACTCATTGTGCGAATATGATGGACTCTCCCCGTTAGCCCCCAGCTTCCACCCACCGCCCCGAAATGTGAACCCTGGTCTCCGGCTCTCGGTTTGCCGGTTCCCCTTGTCCTCTTCCTCTCCTCTTCCTTGAGGATACACGTGTCTCTACGCTCTAGTCTCGAACGAGCTATTTCCTCGGCTTCTACAAGCGCCGCCAAGGTGGAGGGGCAAACAAAAGTTGTTTTTTTTTCTTTTCCCCGCGCCTCGGTCTTCACGAATACCGTGCTCTTGTATATTCGGACAGACTAAACGGGCCAAGGAAGAGGATGGAAGCCTGGCATTTAGACTTTCTGCCAAGGGCGGCTTGACAAAAACCAATTTGAAAAAAAAAACCAAATGCTAGGATGAGGCTGGGTAAGCGAGGGCAGGATCACGCTGACTCTAACACGGGACCATAACCAGTATTCTTTTCTTCTCACTTCTTTCTTTTTTAGCCGACGTGAAGATTCCGAGTAAGCAAACCCACGGATCGCGGATTGGATCCTTTCCCTTCCCTCCCCCGCTCTACCGCCCCAGGTTTTACCCTAGTGCTGGGAGATGACGAATCTCGCTTCCGGACAAGGAAAACCGACGGAAGGGGGTTGGAAAACGGGGAGAGAGAAAGGAATTGATGCCCTGGGCCACCCCCTCGGATGAGCGGGCCTGGGTCTCCCCGATTTCTCGTTTCCCAGGCCATCTTGTCTTGGTAGGAAGGGGAAGAAAACCCGAAAGGAATCAAGTAGAGCGACCGCGAGTACCCAGTCTCTAGTCATCGCAGTCATCGCAGTCATCGTAGATACGATCACAGCCGGATGAGGTGGACCTTTCTTCAAAACATCAATCCTTATCACTCGCTCCGACCAAAGATGTTTGCCCTGCCCGCGTATCGTATCTACCTGAAGACGCCTCCCCAAGAGACCCCCGCCCTACGTGAGAATCCACTCCCCGCTCATCAAGGTAAAGGCGTACGATGTGCCCACCTGAGGAGCCATCATATTTTACGATCAGAAACGAGCAAGTTTTGTTTGTCAGTCGTACTACTACTTCCCCTCTCCTTCGTACTCGTTGTGCTCCCCACCTCGCACACCCCATTGACGGATGCTCGCGTACACACGTACCCTTTTGAAGCTGGAGGCTCTCGGTAGGAGATAGCCTACACCTTCCAAACAGGATGGGATTTTGATTGAATAGCATTGAAAATGTACCTCGGTATTTGCGCGCCACAAAGGTGGATAGTACCATCCATCCCCCTCCGAGTTGTTTCTCACCCTCAGCGCTTATCTCACAACTCTTTTCCTGCGTCCATTTAAAAACTGTCAGTCTCCCAAAAATAGCCCGTGGCCAATCACATCCTCCGTGTCCACCCCCTTGTCATAACCGCGCCGATCCCGCGCATCCCATTGGATCGAAGCCCCCGTTTTTCTCTGTCCTGTCCGTTAACGCGGGGTGGCCCGTCTGAAGCGGCCGGCGCTTAAACCGGCCGTCCATCGATTGGCTCAGAGCGCTTCTTTTTTCTCTCTTTTTCTTCTTCTTTTTCTTTTTTTTTTGTTTCGTTTCAAACGCGCCCTTGGTATTACCCATCCATTATGTACCTTTCCCATAGCATAGTGTAAACTAAACACCTTGCCTTTGTGGATGTCTTCCCCCGCCCAGACCGCGGCGGTAATCGGTTGGGCCAAAGAGAGAAGAAGAGGCCCCGAACCACGCATCCATGAGCAACGCATTCGCATTCGTCATTAGCACAAGCCGCCGGTTTTTTTCTTCTTTGCCGTCCGTAGGACCCGTCGTCGGTGGCGTCCACGTGCAGTATACACTTGCCGCTCCCATCTTGGACACAACCGCGGCCCGCAAGATCGAGGGCCTTCTTTGCACGGCCGCGGAGATGAGATGGATATCTGCCACCTCGATCTACGTTGGCTTCCGCGGAAGAAGCTTGCCCCATCATCATGGAACCCTAAGGCCGTCCAAAGACGACAGTAGCAGTCCTAAACTGAACTTGGTTCACCATCAGTCCCGTGCCCCGTGCTCCTGCCGCCTTTTTTCGGGTGCCCAGCTTCGGACCAGGAGAAAAGAGTAGAGAAAGTAGAGATGGGTCTGCTCCGTAAAGGTCTCCCCTCCCACCTAACCTTTAGCCTCGTAAGTACGATATTGAAGATTCCAGCCATTTTCTTTCCTTTTGCTTTCCTGTGATAGTGTTCAACACTGCGAGTGGGGGATCCTACTTTAGGAGGATAGTGTATATTCTAAAATATTCGCCCCGCCTCTGCTGAATCTGGTTCCTATAACAAATAGAGAGAGAAACAGAAGAATAGAGCCCAGAAAAGGAATAGGGGATGAAGCATGAATTAGATTTAAAAAAAAAAAAAAATCAACGTGTTAAAAAACACCTCAAGTCATAAACCAATACCAATCATCTCAGTCGGTAGCGTTTCTACTTTGTTCAAGGTTGCCGTGAGGATACCGACGTTTCCTCCCAAAACAAGTCCAAGTTCTACCATGCATGATATACAAGAAATAGAAACAAACATTGCCCGCCGGGGCCCCTTTGCCTTTCGCCATCCCAAAACAGAAAAAAAAAAAAAAAGAAAAAAAGAGAACAACGTGAATCCCTTCTTAGAAATCCCCAGCTTCATGCCACTCCCCTTGCCCCCGCTGCTGCCGCTGCCGCCGCCTCTGCCACCTTGCCCGCGACCCCGGCCGCCGCCGCCGCCTGACCCAGGTTGCTCGCGTGCTTGTCCACGTCGTCTGCCCCCATCCAGTATAGCGAGAGGAACACGAGCACGTGCAGCGCCACGCAGTACGCCGCAAAGAGGTTGCGGCTCGTCCGTGACGCCAGCACCATGCGCGTCACCGAGTACACCACCCGCTCCGGGAGGCTCATGCGCTTGTACGCCCGCGCCGACTCCCGGCCCCGGAACGCCGCAAACGGCGAGATGTTGGACTCGTACGCCCTGCGGTACCGGTCAAGCGGGATCCCCATCGCAATCGTCGACGGGTTCGGGCTCGTCATCCCTCCCGGCGACACCGCTCCCCTCCGCCCGGGTACGCCAGCGACGTGCTGCCGCTTCCCCGCTCCCGCGATTGTACGTGGAAATGTACCGCGTCTTCTCGTACAGGTTCAGGTTGTCCTTTTGCAGCGCTGCAATCTCCTGCCGCAGCTGCGATACGCTGCGGTGCGTATCCGAGAGCTCCTGCTCCAGTTCCGCATTGCGCTTCTTGAACCGATCACGCTGCGCCGTGATCATCGGGAGGATGCCCGATCCACCACCCACACCCCCACCCCCGCCTAGGTTTTCACCTAGCAAGGACGGCCCTCGTGAGTCGAGCCCTCCAATGATGGATGACGTCGGAGAAATCCTGCCCCCTTCCTGCTGCCCGCCGGGAACCGGCTTACGTACGTGCCCGCTACCGACGCTCCCGACGGGAAGGCGTTGGGCGCCTCTGCCTGCATGTTGGCCAAGTCGTCTTCCAGCTTCTCGTTGAGCCGCTGTGCTTTGTCCAGCTCGCCGTTCGTCCTCGAAAGCTCTTCCTGCAGGCCCTGCAGGCGCCCCTGGAGGTCCTGATGCGACACCCGAAGGATCGTGAGCTCGTCTCCGAGCTTCTTGTTCCTCGCCAGTAACAACCTTTCCAAAGTGTCGCCCCCTTGGCCCTCTCCGCCTCTTCCTCGCCCCCGGTTACCCCGCCGCCCAGGCCGAGACCTGGTTCATCGTCGTCGCCCGTTGAGAACTCGATGCTCTTGAGCACCTCGAGCTCCTGCTTCACGTTTTCGTAGTCGCTCCACTTTTGCACCTTGGTCTTGAGCGAGTCCCTCTCCTCCTTGAGACGGCCCGACTCCCGCTCCAGCGTCTTGACCTTGCCGTCAAGCTCCCGCCGGATGCCCTCCCTCTCCACCCTTGCCGCGTCAAGCTTGCGCAGGAGGGCCCTATTCTCCGTTCGCATCCGCATGTATCCCGGGTCGTCTTCCAACGACGCCGCCTGCGTTGTCGCTTGAGACTTGTTGTGCGCCAGGTCGATTCGCAGTTGCTCGTTTCGAGCCTCCACCTCGGCCAACCTTGCGCTTGTCCGCTCCAGATCCGAGTTGAGCATCTCCACCTCGGCCGCCGTGACGTGGTTCGCCTGCTCGCTATCGTCCTCGGCCGTGCGGCCTAGGCGCGCGTTGACCTCGTGGCTGGCCTTGATCTCGCTAATCAGTCGCTCCTGGCTCTCCACTTTCTCCTCAAGCGCCTTTTCCTTGGACGCCCAGTTGTCCTTCTTCTCCTCGAGAACCGCCGTCCACGACTCCTCCACCTCCTTGACCTTGGATTCTAGGTCATCCTCTAGCTCCTTGCGCGCCGCCCTCTCTGACTCTAGCCGTGACTCAGCCTCCTCGAGCTGCGATGTGAGCTTGGACACGTTCTTTTGCAAGTGTGTGTTCTCCTCCGTTAACTTGGGCAGTGTATCCTCCGACACTAGCATCGAGTCGACCGAAAGTTCCAGCAGCGGATACGGGTCAGGTGCGTCGGATAGAGCCGTGTACACTTGGAGAAAGACCGAGTTGACCGTCTTGGAGGAGTTTGTGAGGAGGTCGATGAAGGATTGATATGCTACGCAGGCCAAGAAGGGGTTGTTAGTTGCGCTGGGATTTCAGGTGTAGTCAAAGAGAGAGGATAGAGAGAGAGCACCAGGGGCGCGAGGGGATCCTTACACTTCAAAGAGCCTTGATCTCCGTGAGCTTGGACGCATCGTCGAGTTTTCGGAAATCCTTCGTCTTCTGCGCAAGCTCTTTCCTCTGCACCGTAGAGTCTCGTTGGTGCGCCGCAATATCGGATGCCGTGTTGTCAAGCTGGGTGATGAGAGTCGTGAGATCGACGCCTATGATGCGACACCCCTGGTCGTTAGCTACCTTGGCTTCGTTCTTCTTGGAGTATCCATTCCTTCTAGCACCTCCGTCCGCAACATCTCGGCCCGGGCGGCCAGAATCCTAGACGCCCCCGCCACCCAGCCAAAGGACATACCTCGCCAGGCCGAAATGGCCGTCTGGAATTTATTGCCTTGGCTGTTGTCCGAGCCACCAAGGGTGGCCGGTGTCGTTTGGGCAGCCTCGGTCGTGACGTCGGCCATTGCGAATTTTTTTGGGAGGGTTTTTCTTCTCTTTTCAAAAACGTGGGTATGGGTTCCTCCGTTGTTTCTCGGGGCCGTTCGCGGATGGATGGCTGGGGTAATCGTTGTGGCGTGGCCTCGAAGCTCACCCCTGAGGTTGCGAAAAATGGACGGAAGTATCGGGGAGGTTCGCAGTGTGAAAATCAAATCATTAGTGAATAAATGCCCATCGAATGGAAGCTCAAAGGAAGATCTCCTTAAGCCAGCACGCAAGAAATACGCAGAGAGTCGACGGGGAAAGAAATGCGTGCATGCGCCGGCCGGGCAGAAATAGCTTCGGGAATGGGGGATTGGATTGGCGGTTTTTGATGGAGGTCGGGAATGGAAGACACAAAGTCACGGATTTTTGGGGGGACGTGTCTTCTCAGCCTTGGGCTTCGCTTGCGCTGGTTGGTCAGTTCTTCCTTCCCTTTGAAGCTCCCAAGGTACCGAAGCATGTACCTAAGAACTTGGGCTGGGTGCCCCTTCCCTTTGCAACAAGTACCTTTCGCTTGGCTGGCCCTGATTTTTTGCTTGGCCCAAGCCCCCTGCGTGTGGCTGGTACAGGTCTTCTTTGGGGCAGGCGACAAACAAGGCAAGAGCAACTCCAACTGTCAGCTCGGATCAGCGTCGTCACTCCTCAGCCAAAGCTCCCCAAAAGCTCCCCTCCCACTCCAAAAGATGCTGATCAATTGATACGCTTGGCCAGCCAAACCGGACATCGCACTGCTACCAAACTGCCCAAAAGTGGCACCAAAAGTCTCGCCAACTCCTAGACCATTTGAATTAAGCATACTTGTACATACAAGATACCGTTCACCCCCGTTCACACACTCCCAAGTCCTGCCAATCTGATCTAGCGCTTGCGCTGCAGCCTGCGATCTCGCCGCCGCAGACCCAGCTCCGTCTCCCCTCCCTCTCCTCCCCAAACACTCCCCCACCAGAATGAGGCGGCCACTTCGGTGATGAGAGATCCCCCTTGCAAGTGATGGACGCGAAAGCCAGCGACAATCATGGCTCGAGTGAATCGATGTCGTCCCCGCCACAGCCCTCCCCGCCGCCCCCAGCAACAGGGCCATTTGCCCTGCGCACCCTCCTCGACAATGTGCCCCTCAATGCTGACGGCACCTCGGAAGACGTCAAGATAACATGTGTCGACTATCTAGGTGAGTTCCTGCATTCGATCGGTGTTGGGGAAAGGATCTGTGCTCGTGGTGCTCGCCCTCCTACGGTGCCACTGCTCCGAAATCATGTTCTTCGTGATAAGCCATACTGATTACCGAAACCTGTCTTCTTAGATCATAACCTCTACGTCGGCACCTCTGCTGCCGAACTTCTTCACTTTGTCCAAATCCCCTTCGATTCTTCCGACGGCAACGCCCGGCCGACCTTTATCCTCGCCTCCCGCCTCCGACCCGTCTTCTCCGAAGCACACAGTGCCCCCGTTTCCGCCCGTCCCGGCATCCAACAAATCCTCTTACTACCAAAAGTCGGCAAGGCCTGCATCCTCTGCAACTGGACCGTCACCTTCTACTCCCTCCCCGAGCTTAGTCCTGTATTCGGCACCACCCAGGTCAGGAATTGCAACTGGATCGGCGGTGTTGATCTCAACACCCTATCGGTAACAATGGCCATCCCCGAGAGCAGAGGGGCCAGCGGGTCATTGTTCTATTATCCTTGAACCGCAGGATACAGGTTGTGCGCATCGGCGAGGAGGCAGGTGCTGTCAAGGTGAGATGCAGATCCAAAGGCTACATTAGGTTCCAACCTTGGGGGATCCGCCTTGTCCTGTACTTCAGTGGCCGAGTGCACCTATCTAACTGACCGTGCTAGAACATCGACTTTTCTGGCAGTACGATATCGTGTAGGCGAGGCAGCATTGCCTGCGTCGCCGATTCGCGACACTATGCCCTCATAGACGTCGAGCACCAGCTCAAGATCCCTCTCATGGCCATATCTTCGCTCGACAACTCGCAACCCCCGGCGAGCTCGGCCATACCCAGAGCATTGCCGCCACGAACGAAACCGGGCTGCTTCGGAGCAACTCTTCCGCCCAGCACCGCCGTTCCCACTCTGCCGCCAGCCAGCAGCACCACTCTCATGCTAGAAGCACGAGCCTTGGCGCCTTCATCTCTGGGGGTGCCGGTATGCTCGGCCCGCGCCAGGGTGAGGAGCCCGTCAGCCGACAACCCACCCCACCCTCTAAGCCCACTAGTCCAAGGCCACCGGCGGACACGGTATCCAAGCCCCTCCCGTCCACGCCTGGGGCCTCCTCCCCCGCGCCCTCTTCACCGGCCCCTGCCAATGCCGCCGTGGCGCCGAAGCCGGCTCCGCCTTTCCTCAAGCCTCACATCGTATCACCTTCGGCCGAAGAATTCTTGCTCGTGACGGGAACGAGCGCGACGGATCCCGCCATCGGCATGTTTATCAACCTTGACGGCGATCCAAAAGGACCAACCCTTGGGTTTGACAGGTACCCAAGAGAGGTTGTCGTCGACGTGGGCTTCACGGACTCGACGGTTCCCAAGTCGCCGAGGCTATCGATGAATGAAGACGAGGTAGATAAATATGTCCTGGCCTCGATGACCAGGGACTCGGAGGAAGGGATCCGCCACGGCCTCGAGATTCAACGGTTCGACACCAACGATGATCCGGGAAAGCATTGGCTCGAGGCGCCGCTACTCGAGGGCCAGGATAGGCAGTCGTCGTGGCCACTGGGGATCCGAGCGCTGGCCGGAAGCGATGAGACCATCTGCCAGGAACTAATCGACCGTCTCTGCCAGAGAAGGTTCGAGCCATTCCCCAACGGCGACTCGGGCACCTCGCCCTTTTCTCCCCGTAGCATCGATTCCCGCACCGCCACATCGCTCGCGCAAATGTCCAACGAGAGGGAGCTGTTTGAGCGCGACCTTGAGGCCGAGGACGAAGATCTACCCGAAGGCTGGGAGGCGAACCGTAACCGTGAAGAGGAGGATTTTGTCAAAAGGCTAGCCAAGGCCCGGGCCGGCATCGCGGTGTGGACGGGCAACCACATCTGGTGGGCGGTCCGCAGCCCTCTGCTCCTTCAGCTCGAGGCTAAAGTGGGACTCTCCCCGCCAGCGGCGGCGAGCAGGATCTTTCCGAGGTCCCCGTGGACCGGGCCGGCATTTTTCGTTTTTGAAATCGATCAAGGACCGCGACGCCAAGAATGAGCTCGAGTTCCTGACGCTAAGCTACCTCCGGCAGCAGGCAGGGCTTCTCCTGCTTGTGAATTTTCTCAAGGCCAAGGGCGCGGATGCGTTTTCTGATGCCCAGGCTGAGGAGCTGGCGCACAAGCTCGTGGACAGCTCGCTAGACCCTCGCGTGGTGCTATCCCTCGTGCCGGGCCTGCGCAACGAGATTGTGGAAAGCAGGAAGGGTATCTGGATCTTTGGCGGCGTCAGAGAGTCGGCGGCCCGGTACTTGCAAAACGAAAAAGTGTGCGGGTCTCCGGTGCCGGTGGGTGCGCTGGACCGGCAGACACTCCACTTCTTGCGCAAGTTCCTCTCGGGCTGGAGACTCAAGAAAGGATTCGGCAGTATCGCGGATGAGAATGACGTGTTCCGGACGGTCGACGCGTCACTACTCCTGGTGCTGCTGGAGCTGGATCAAAACACGCCGCGGGGGCCATGCCTAAGAAGGGTACGGTGCGGGCAGATCTCAACGATCTCGTCGACCGCGGGGTGGACTGCTTCGACAGGGCGGTAGACCTGCTAGAGTCGTATCACCGCCTCTTTGTGCTGAGCCGGCTGTACCAGAGCCGCAAGATGGCGGGCGAGGTTCTGGACACGTGGCGGCGCATAGTGGAGGGTGAGACCGATGCGGGCGGCGAGTTCAGCGATGGCGAGCAAAGGGTCCGCGAGTACCTGACCAAGATCAGCAACCAGGGTCTCGTGCGCACGTACGGCGTGTGGCTAGCCAACCGCGATCCCAAGCTCGGCGCTCAGGTCTTTGCCGAGGACAAGGGCCGGTCACCCGCTTCGAACCGGCGCACGCCGTGGCCATCCTGCGCGACGAGGCCCCCGACGCCGTCAGGTACTACCTCGAGCACCTCGTCTTTGCTAAAGGCAGCGGCGAGTACGTGGATGAGCTCATTACGTATTACCTCGACGTAGCGGTCGACGCCCTGCAGTCGTCGGCCGAGCGGCGCGAGACGTTTGCGGCAACGTACGAGGCCTACCGGGCGCTGTACCCGCCGCCTAAGCCTCCATACGCCCAGTTTCTGGCGGACAACTCGGCGGCAGACGACGAGGTGTCGCAGTCACGGCTGAGGCTGCTGCAGTTGCTGAGTGATGTGCGCGGGTATGACGCGGCGGCGGCTCGGCGGCGACTCGCGAGCGTGCCGGACGAACTGCTCGTCCCCGAAATGATTATCCTAGACGGGCGCGAGGGCAACCACGAGAACGCGCTGCGGCTACTCGTGCATAGGCTCGGGGACTACGACGCGGCCATACGGTACTGTCTCCGAGGCGGGGCCAGCCTCTTTGGCAGGCAGCAGCAAGGGCCGGCGATGACGGCGGCATTGGCAACGGCGGCAGCAGCAACGCGAGACACCGCTGGCGGAGGAGATGCGCAGAAACAGCAACCGCTCGCGCCGGTTGAGCAGCGGCGTCTCTTCAAGGCGCTCCTGGGAGAATTTTTGCGCATCGACAACCTGAGCGACAGGTTAGAGCAGACGAGCGGCCTCCTGGAGCGGTTCGGCCCCTGGTTCGACGTGGTGGACGTGATTGGGATGATTCCCGACGACTGGTCGGTGAGGCTGCTGGCCGGGTTCTTGGAGGGGCGCTCAAGAGGCTGGCGAAGGAGCGCAACCTTGCGCGGCTAGTTCGGGGCCTCAGTGCGGTGGAGAATCTGAGGGTCGAGGGGGCCTACCTGGAGAAGGCGGCGGAGATGGGACCGACGCTGGAAGGTGGGAAAGACGGGGAGGAGGGGGCGAAGAGATGGAAATGATGTGAGTGAGTAATGAGAAGTTGTGAAGAGAAAGAAGGGTTCGTCGAGACGAACGCACGGTGTTTGTTTTTGGCATAACTCGTGACTGTCTGTGTATTGTTAGATATGATGACGTGCAGAATGAAGGCTAAGACCGCAAGAGTCTTGCTGTGAATACAGATTTAAACAGCTTCCCTGTTCTTTTTTTTTTTTTTCGTTTAAATTTCTTGATGTAGGTCAGCCATGGATTTGTAAGTCTTTGTTCTTGTACAACGGTGAGGGACTGCTGTTTAATGAGGTGTAATGTAGATGCCATCAATACTATATACAACTAGGTCTACGCAAGTCCTCATTATGATCATCCAAAAGAAAAATGCAACCCAAGGGTGCCATGAATACTCCTCTTGCTCTTTTCCGTCTACGTTTCCTTTTACTCTATTCTCTCTTCTTCGTTTCGTTTTTTGTGTCCCCCCGGGTTATCCGCAACTCTCTCTCTCTCTCACTCACTCAACTCTCTCTGTGCCTCCGCAACGCTCTCATCTCACTCAACTTTCTCCGTGCTTTTACGCCTCGGCCACACTCTTCACAATACCCACAGCGAGCCAGCGCCGGGCGCCGGTAGCCTCCTCGCCCTCGCGCTCGGGGACCCAAGCGCGCTCGTTGCCGAGGCAGTCGACCTCCCAGATGCGATCGAGTTGGAGGGCGTGGGCGGCAAGGGCGTCGGGGTCGAAGAAGCCGCGCATCTGGGAGCGGCCGGTGTGGAAGCCGGCGATGACCCAGGCGCGGGGGTCGGGGGCGGCGGGGGTGGCGGGTTTGAGGAAGTGGGCGATGGAGGTGTGGAGGTTGGTGTGTTGCCAGGGCATCCACTACGGGAAACTTGGGGTTAAACTTTTGTTTTTCCTACATATATATAAAGGAAAAGAAGGATGGTCATTACCAGGCAGTCGGCGGCGATAACGACGTCGTAGGCGTGCTTCTTGCCGCGGGCAAAGTCGTCCATCTCGCCCCAGGCGTGGCCCTCGACGAGGACGTCGTGGCAAAGGGCCCGGCGGCGCGGGGGCCGGCGTTGGCGGGGACGACGTTGTGGGCGACGTTGCGGCGCAGGGTGTCGAGGAGGGCGGGGACGGGTAGTCGGTGACGGTGACGGAGGCGGCGCCGAGCAGGGCGGCCATCATGGAGGAGGGCGGTGCCGGCGCCGAGTTCGATGGTGGATTTGCCGGCGATGTTGAAGTAGGTGCTGGGCGGGGAGAGGCGGGGGCCGTCGTCTCCTGGTTGGTGGCCCCAACGCTGCTGCTGCTGCTGCTGCTTCTGTTCCGCTTCCTCCCGGCCTTGCTCGCCCTGCTGTATCGCATCCCGAGCAGCCTCCGTTTCGGCGGGGCCAGCGTAGTCCCGGTGTCTATGAATTCGGCGGCGAGGAGGGAGGCGTTCCAGAGGTAGTGGCCGAAGAGCAAGCGGTCCTCGTCGGCGGAAGGGTCGGCGAGCTCGATGCGCAGGGGGCGGGGCAGGGACGGGGAGGTGTAGAGGAGGGTGGTGTCGGCGTCGCCGTGCTGGTTGGCGACGGCGTCGGGGAATATGACGGCGAGGGAGGAGGAGAGGAAGTCTTCGGGTTCGGATTCGGGGATTTCGGGCACGAGACGGTCGGTGAGGTTCGTGGAGGCCATGGCGCGTCGGCGGCGGCCGGAAGGGGAGCGGGGTGTCCCGGGTGCGAGGAGCAGGAAGGAGCTTGAACGGATTTCAAAAGAAAGAGAGAGTTACGATGACAAGAAGAAGAGAAAAGAGAAGGGAGGCCTCGGGTGGGGAGCCGAAGTGGTTCCGAGAGTAGCTGGTGTCCGGGGCGCAAAAAAGAATAATCTACGGATGACGATGGTGGGAGATATTCGATGGTGGGGCAAATGGAGGGGCAAATCGATCCACGGCGCGCGCGAGGAGAAAATTATCGCGGATTTGGCGGGGTTCACCACCTTTTTTTTTTTTTTTTCATGCAGTCTCTAGCATCGGGTCTTTCCGCCCGCATCGCATTTATCATGTTTGCGTGATACAAGAATCAATCTCTCCTTTGTCTCCCTATAAACCGTTTTGAAATGACGTTCCTAGGCTTTCCGGAGGATGGGGAAATCCTTAGAATAGATCGTAGAGAGAAGGAATGCCACAACAGCCGTAAAAGTGTATGAACACGAAAGAAGCTCAATCGGGGGTTTTTTTTGCTCAGGCCATTCTCTCGCGCCGGCCACTAAAAGCCTTCACGTGTCTAGTCTTCCTGTCCCCATGGAGAAAGTCAGCGAGGTCGTACAACATATTCATCGCGCGGCGGGGATGCGGTATCTGGGGCGTTTAGACCATTGAACTTGCCCTGAAGCTCGCAAGATCCTTACTACCAAAGCCGCGTATCTTTCAAGTCCGAAAGAAGGGTACCAAGCATCAAGCCTGGCGAGCGGTATCTCGAGCTCCTCGAGGAATCTTCTATCCCATCGCACACTCCTCTCTTCCGCTTTATGCCATTCCGCCCCGATCCCAGCGGCGAGCAACACCGGAAGACGATTGTCTCCGGGGAGTGGGCCTCGTGACGATGCCACTAACATACCGTCCGTCCATGTGCCTTGCCATATGCCTTTCTTTATCTAGCGGGAGAAATGCCCCGTCGCCCATTTCTTCCTCGAGAGCTCGTCGACAATGCCTTTCAGTCTCGTTTCCAAACCTCCCCATCATCCAAAAGAATCAGCACTATTGGGTTAGTGGTAAACTTGGTCGTTGCCATTCATCTTCGGTGGATTCGACCAGCCCCGGTTCGATTCCGGGATAGTGCAACTCTTTTCTTTTGCCCATTCCCTCCTTTGCACTTGATGAATGGTCTTCTTTCTTCCTTTTTTTATTTTTTTGTCGACCTCTCGCGCTGCTCGTCTTGCCTTTTACTTTTCTCAACAGACCTGCTATTGTACGGTCTTTGGCCTTCCCGCGGGCCGGCCCTATTGCGAGCGAACTCCTTACTTCAAGTGTCCTCCCCGTCAGCTGTAACTCGGCTGGCAAGATCACACAAGCCTGAAGCTTTGAGTAGCTATGGCGATGGACAGATGGGGCCGTCATAGATGTCAAGTGGTTGAGGTGATGGAATCTTTGCGGGCTAGGACGGCTATTGACCATATCTACCGGCCGGTGCAAAGGGCAATGGCTCTGTTCAATCGTCCAGCCGAAAGGGGCCGAAGATATTCACTGCCTCCCTCTATATGGCCGGAATCATCCTTTCAACCCGTCTCCTTGTCTAGAATAATACGGTTAACTCTGATCAGCATCATGCTTTCTAGGAAACATTGGGCCATCTTTCCGTATATCAACTGCCTTTCCTTACAACCAGCGGAGCCGAGCCGCTCAAAGCCCTTCCCTTAGGGTTAGGGTACGATATAAGGACTCGGAAGACAGTGGTTTAAAGGATCCCAAGGAGGAGGCTTTTGCCTCGATCAATTGCAGTCAACACTATCCTGCTCGCCGTTTTCCTCCACTTGTCCCTGAAACGAAGCTGGCAGACTGGGGCGGGCACCGCATGCTCGAATCACGGGACTCGGAGAAGGGGAGTAAGGGTTCTCCGTTTTCAGGCCTTTTCGTCTTGCCTAGGTCTTCACCTCTTCGTGGCCATGAAGACGCCAAACCTCTCTCGTACTCTTGCTGGGAGGGGAAAAAGGTCTGCATGAGTCCTCACTAGCCATCAACCAGCTTGGCCAGTCAGATTTCTCGAGTGAGAGGCTCTTCCTAGCAAAGAGAGAAAGAAAGGGGTCGACAAAACGCCGTGCTGGACACTCCAACGCATGTCAGGGACCGTAGGGCTTAGGGGCACAAGCGGATGAGGAAGGGCTGAGGTTGAGGTTAGGCAGGAAAGGAGAGCACCGCTGCAAGAGTGGTAAACCGCACTCCCTCCCCCATGTGGGTGTGAGCAGCATGGAACCGCCCTGTTTCTCTCCCTCGCTGCGTTCCCCTAGAGGCACCCCTATCCCCGCGGAAACGAAAGAATCGAGAACAAAGGACGAGGGCGAGACAGAGTCTCAAGGGGACACAGGAGGGCATTAGTCGCGAAAAAGCCACGCTGCCTTGAAATGGATAGAACACTACGAACATCCCTTCATCATCTATAGGGGGTGTAGATGAAGAAGGGGTCCGTTCAAGGCGGATAGCACAGAGCAGCGGTGAGAAACATTCCACGATAACCCCCGGCCACCATGGGCCCTGCTGCCAAACACGTGTGGTAGGACTCTTTTCCGCAGGGACACGGAACAAAGACCACAACAACCCCAGCCCTCCCCAACCTTCTCTTGGCCTCGGCCTCTCGTGAGAAACGTGGGCCTCTACACTTTAATACACCCTTGGAAAAAGAAACGCAAAAACGCAACCCGCATCCTTGGGGAAAGAACTCGCGGTCCAAGAGGCCGGCAGAAATATCCGCTAAAAAGACATGGCCTCCTCTTTCTTTGGGGGCGTGTGTTTTTGTTCTTCATCTTGGGCCGTCCCAAGGTCTCGGGCAAGCCAGGGTAGCAAGACAAACTGACATGCCCGCTTCGTTCACTCGTGTCTGCACCTTTGTTTCGCCTCAGGCCAGCCTTCGGTTTTTTTCTTCTTCTTTTTTCGGTTCTTTTCTTCTCCCAAGGCTAGCCCAGCCAATATGTCCTTCTCTGTCTGTCTGGCCATTTGTCTGTCTTTGTGTGTGTGCGTGTGTCTCTCTCTATCTCTCTATCTCTCTCTCTCTCCCTCTCTCTCTTCCCTCTCGCTCTCCAGTCCCAAAGAGGTAAACTGTACGATAAAAATCGCCATGTCTCCATGTAGGCACCACACAGCCCTACGACAGGGGCTAGCCCAAAAGACGAAGAGAGAATAGATCCCAGTCCTATATATTTTGCAGCCAAACCACTCTCCAATCACAGCCACGCCGCCATTCTACTGTGTGCCTCTCCCTGGCCGTTACCCAAAAGTGTCGGAGCAGCAGGGGGGACGCCAACGTCCAAACGGCTTTGCAAAGCCATCATCTCTCGCTTGTGGAGACCGCGAGAGAAGAAGAACAAAGAGCGAGCCAGCTCAAAGCAGGTGCCACATCACCCTCACTAAAAGAGGAAAGGTCAGAATACCGGCCATCCGGATACTGGAGGACGATGCGAGCGCAAGGGCAAAGAGCAAAGACTAGAGGGGAGGGGGTGCGGAGAGGCCGGGAAGGGGGCGCGCAATGGCAACGGAGAGAAACACAGAATCGTTCTTTGCATCTGCGAGCAGCATGCAATATTTCAGAAGCAGAAGGTGTGAGGAACTCGGAGATGGCGAGCTTATCGTAGTGCGAATAGCTCGAATAGCTCACTTGCTTGTTCCGGGGGAGGGGGTTGATGGACGGCTTTCCTTCCGCGCCCGAGAAGGGAGAGAGAGGCGGTGGGGTAGGTAGCAACGGGGCGCTGGCCAGCCAAGGGAGGGGGAAAGGGAACATCGAAGAGCACTGAGAGAGCGTGAGTGAGAGGGGGATTGTTCTGGCCCGTCCTGTTTTTTCCTTTCCTCCCGATACCCTGGGCCTTGCGGGTTTCCCACGACCACTGCGTCGGGACATGGCGACGCCGAGATTTGGTACGACCCTGTTGAGCAGGGGGAAGAAGGGGGATGCCATCCATGTTGATTGTGTGGGAGAAGCTCAACACTTGTCCTTTGCACTGCGCTGACAAGGATGGTAGGGGAATAAAGAAGAATCAAGGCCATTTGGAGGAGCAGGGGTGTTCCCTCCCTTTTCCTTACAATTCACGTTGGGGGAAACAGGTGTCAGGGAATCGAAGTCCGGACTCGTGGGCTCTGCATGTTCGTGACAAGGTGGTACAAGTATTACACTAAAGGGATGCAGAAACGGAATTTCGCATTCGACGAGGTAGGGGAGGAAGGGGGGCAAAACCAAACTTGTCCCAGAAAGCGTTGAACCATGCCTCGAAAAATAGAGAGCTCGCAGAAAACCTTGGGCGAGGCCATTCCCAATCCGGGGCACGGAAACGAAGACACAGCAGCGACGATGGGGTCAACGGTATGTGTGGACACACACACACGCACGCATGGCCCGCAAGACGGGGCCGGACTAGGACTGGACCGCGGACTAGGGATTTTGGGGGATGGGGGAACTGGGCCGGGCGTGGGTGCGTGTGTGGTGTGTCTTGTGCGTGTGTGAATGTGTGTGAGTGGGCTGCGGCGGCGAAAGATTCGCCATTCTTTCCCCTTTGCCATCAATGCCCGTTTTTCTTTTGTTTTATTGATTCCGCATCTCACCTAGCGTGTCCTGGCCCTTTCACCCTGACCGCTCGCCCTTTGTCTCCAGTCCTCCACCCCAAGCAATCTTGGCTCTTCTCGCCATCGCGAACCCTCACCTCACCTCACACCCCACCTCTTCTTCCAACCCTTGCCTTTTCGTCTTCTTTCTTTTCCTTTTCTTCTTCATCGGCCCCCGGACGTGGGCCAGCCAGTCCATGCCTTGTTAGCGCCATCACCAAAACCGTAAAAGAGGAATAAACCCATGGGATTGCGATGCTAGTGCGGCGAACAACCCCATCCACGCGCGAACCCCCAAGACAAAACAAAAAACACCCACGGAGATATCCCACCACGGATCTTATTCCGCAGAGGGCGCGGCAAGGGGCATGCACGAATATCAGGAAGAAGACAAACCAGACATGGGACTGGAAAAGCTGCTTCGAGTATCGGAGCGAGTCGTCACTTTGGCCTGCTTTGA